GGGAATTCAATTAAGTGGTTGTACTTACAATTTTCGCAAGTGTTCTCTTATCGGGGGAGGAAGCGGAATATTGAATATTGAAGTTTGAATATTTGAAAATTTAGTTTGAATATGAACAAATATACTTGAATAATGAATCTTTATTTTTCTCGAAAATTCAGTTAATCCTAATTATGTTCGACTGATGTTTTGTCGGGCCGGTCCAGCCAGTTAGCCTGCGTTCCTTAGCTAGGATAAGCCAAGGAACGCGGGCTCACACAGTCGGCTTGGTTATGTGATTCATCAGTACAGTTCTCCTGACTGATGACCACGCACTAATACGAGACTTGTCACATTACAACCCTCTTGTTACTCTTTGTCTGACTCTTCGGGACAACACCTTTCGCGCTCGAGTCTCGTTGACTCTTGTCTCTGTTTTTAAGTGAATTTTGGAATCCCAAGCTGCGTGAAATCTCTTCTGAATAGAAGACAGGATAATAGGGAAGTAGCTATGGGGAAAAACAAGTCAAGAGAGAAGCCCAGGTATCGATCCACTTTGAAAATCAGTTGGGGATTAGCGCTATCAAACTGGGCCCCAGGGGGGGTACTCCTGGGAATTCTTGCTGGGGGTGTGCCGCCCGGTTCTCCTAATCCAGACCCTCTTTCAGACCGAAAAATGTCATTTCCAGAACTGTTTTCAGATCAGACCTCTAAAATCCATACCCGTTTTCAGACCTGGCCTTTAGGCAGAAACAATGTCAATCACTACTTAGATTAGAGTGCAAACAAAAGAATTCTTTAAATGCATTTCGAATTCGCGTATTTCTCTTTCTTTCTTCCTCATTTGGAATTGAAACGATAAATACGTTCATACGCTCCCGTAGTTCCCTCGAAAACTATACCCGACTTCAGACCAAAATGGGCAAAGTCTATACTCGTTTTCAGACCAAAACGGCACAAAACCCTGACCCGATGGGACGGTACATACCTATATAGCTTATATAAGGGAGTACCCCCCCACCAGGGACTAGGCCAATGTTTGTAACCAGGTCAAGCCTTTTTCTACCAACCTTTACCAACAGATAATAATCTATTTCAATGTAACTAGGAGCATGTCTTGTTTATAATTTGTTATTTTCTGAACGACCTCTGCCATTAGTTAGTACTCATTGCAAAGGAATGCAGTGTGTCTTGGTAGCCTACAATAACGGACGTGGCTCTTATAGAAAAACAATGAGTAACGAGGGAGGTCATAATTGTTTAAATAATGAAACTAAGATAAATATGGAAGTCTGAATATTGAATAGTGAGGTTTGAATATTGAGGTTTAAATATTGAATATATTGAAAAATGGGGAGATAAAAACGTGAAAATACTATTTTTTGGTAGAAGTAATCGAGGAAAAGAAAAGGGAAACCTTGGTCACGTGGCATAAATTCACGTTTGCCGCCAAATCTCTCTAATGACCAGCCTGCGAACGCAGACAGCGTATTTCCGCAAAATGCGTCTGCGTTCGCAGGCTAACATTGACCAACAATATCCAAAAAAATGCCTTTATAGGGGTAACATCGTTCAATATTTGCATGTTGCAGAGAAAAAGGAAAAGAAATCATGAAAATTGCGGGAGTTCTTAAAAGCACAATTTTTTTTTTCAAGATCTCACAAAGGTCATGCGTTGTTTCAAACAAAACGAAAGAACCAGGTGTAAAAAGTACGACCCCGCCAGGACTCGAACCTGGAATCTTCTGATCCGAAGTCAGACGCCTTATCCATTAGGCCACGAGGCCGACATAGTATACAAAGAATTCTACTGCAATTTGATGACCAACTGTATTACAAATATTCACTGTAATACTGTTATTTTGTGTTTGCATTTAAATGAAGAACGTGACTCTCGAGATTTTTATTCTTTTCTCTTCCCTTTTTTCTGCACCTTACAAATATTATCATTGTACAAGGTATTGGATTGATGTTTCCCCTGAATCAACTTTTTTTTGGATAGTATTAATGTTGTTAATTGTACAGCATTCAATCTTCGTGGCTTTAAACTATCTGTCGTAATTTCAGCGTCGCCACTAAAACAATATCCAACCAGAGTCAATATTATCTGAGAGGAGACAAGTTTATTAATATTAAAAACCCGATCAGCTATAACAGGCCCCGTGGCCCAACGGATAAGGCATCTGACTACGAATCAGGGGATTCCAGGTTCGAATCCTGGCGGGGTCGTTTTTTCTTTAAACATTTTATTGCTAGAGGTACCAATATATTTTTTTCAAATTCATTATATCCTCGTCCCCCAAACCGTTTGTGACTTGACTCATTACGCGCTGCAGTTTCATTATCTGACAATCGGGAACACGGTAAAGCAGTCTATTACGTAGTCCAAACGGCATGTGATGAGTGCATGAACCAGCTGTTCAGTATACAGTCACTTGATAAGTATTTCCTGCTATGACAAGTGCTTTAGAGGTAGTAGACAAAAATTCGCCCAGTTGACTTAGTTTTTTTAAAATCCTTTCTTGTTATGACCCTTTACCGGGGACTCCATTGCCAGTGTAGGTGTTACAAATAGAAGAGCAGTATATCAGTCGCAACAAAGACTCGATGGGCGCGCGAGGAAGGAGATAGTTCCACTTTCTCTACTCCTGCTGCGTGCCCACCGCGTGCCGATCCCGCGCTTGGTCCTCTAAGTTATACCATTGTATGTACTAGGAGCAAAACTGTTGCGTGTTACCATGCCATCCAACAGTACTGGCCTCCACGTTTCACAACATGAACTGAAGAAAACTTTGAAAAAATACTTATACGACAGATGATTTTCAAAAAGCAGTAGCATTCGTCTTGTCCTATCTCAGCCTCGTGGCCGTGGATAAGGCGTCTGACTTCGGATCAGAAGATTCCAGGTTGGAGTCCTGGCGGGGTCGTACTTTTTTAACTTAAATCTTTTGTTTTGTTTGAAATAATATCGCATAACTCTTGTGAGATAAAATAATAATTTGATGATTTCATTGAAATAGAGAACTCTCGCGATTTTTCTTATTTCTTTTCCCTTGATTTTTCTGCTACTTGTAAGTATTATCATTTTAAAAGTACATGGAGTGATGTTACCCTCAAGGCATTTTTTTTTGGATAGTGTTGATCAATGTTAACCCGCGAACGCGGACATATTCTGCGGAAGTACATGTGCGTTCACAGGCTACTCAATGTTGGTCACCACTGTAATTACATGAAATGCAATCTTAGAAAACTCAAGTTAATAAACGACTGAAATAATATCGGAGTCAAAGATGAGTTTCTTGGGATTGAAAATCGACTCCATCGGATAAGGCATCTGACTACGAATCAGGGGATTCCAGGTTCGAATCCTGGCGGGGTCGAAGTTTTATATTTTTGTCCTGTAATTTAATGAAACCGTCTGCTTTTAAAGTTCTTCTTAAAAAGGGTTATAAATGGTGGTCTTTGACAACGTGATCCTCTGCTTACTAGGTAGATTTCTTTGTTTTTCTTTTTCTTGCCGGACGTCGTGATCGACTCACATTTAACAGTTTCAAAGAGACAGCGACAGAAAGCGAATTACTTCTCACTCATGAGTACAAAGCCCAGACTGATAAGAATAAAACTAAAATTAAATGCTAACTAAAAATTTAATTTTAGTTTAATTGATAACAATTTTATAGACTAAAAATTCGCCCAAGTTGATCGTAATATACCTTATCTCTACACCATGCTCCAAAGATTTTTTAGCCTACTCTGGAGGCATTTCTGAAGGACGCGTTTACCTTGTTCCTCAAATGCTCTTTTCAAGCGCTCTTTTTGCGGTTTATTTGTTTTGACCCTTTCCTTTTTTTTTTAAACGCCTGTCAATCAGATAAGGAAATAATCTGCGTACAAATATAAAATAGCGATTTGGTCTCTTGGTTTTCTTGGAAACATAAGTAAAGGCGACCAACCCTTTGAGTTTTTGCTCGACGACCATTGTCCCACAGTCATTCAACGAGGAAAGAGTGTTGTGATAGACAAGTGAACAACAGTTCAGAAACTGGAATAGAATAGCCCCGTATATAGAGTACTAAAGTGGGACGTCATAAAAAAATTAAATTTGTGAAATTATGGGATTTGTCGGGATCTTCTGTACGAACAACATCCAAGAGGCCTACTTGCAAAAAACTAGTATTGTGGGACAATTGTCTTAGCTCAGTTGTGCTCTGATGACTCCATACATTCCTTCCCAAAAAAATCCCGGCACCCCATCACCCCATCGCACACCCGGTCTATTCAAAAAACAAATAAACACGCAAATAAGATTTCAATTTAATTCTCTGTAAAGATTAGGGAGACCAAACCAATTGACTCCACCAGTCGAAAATCCATAGGACTGGTTGTTTTGCCATCATAATCACAAGATAACGTTATTATCGTAATCTTAAAGCATGATCACTGTCATTATCACCATCATCGTCATCATTATCGTAACCAAGTTGACCAGCACCACCAGCGAGCTTAAGCAACAACAACGGTTCCGGAAACGTCAGTTATCAAGTGTGTTCCCACTACTTTAAACTCTATCGCGCTTATTCCATGTCGTTCAATTCGTAAAATGTTGGCGAATATTTCTGGAGCTGAACTCTAAAGGACTGTATCAAAGTTCAGTTCGTCCATAAAACGTTAAATTAGGCAGTTTCACGTCGTGAGTCGTGCAAGGACGGCAAAGAAATGTACAAAAAAAAGCGTGCTGCACGAGCAAAGCTGTTGTTTTGCTTATTAAACCTATTGCCTTTTTGCCGTTCCCGTCGCCGTTGCCGTCGTCGTTGCTTAAGCTCTCTATTATCTTCATGGGCCCTTCTCACCGTAATAAGTGTCACCAACTGGCAGAAATCGGTACTCAGTAGAATGTTTGTTAACATAAAAGCAAATTGATTTAAGAATTTGTCTAAAAAATGAAATTCAATTGTGAGGTGCAATTTTTAACACTACATTATGTGTGGGATACATCTCAATGGATGTGGCACATAGCCTACCTAACGTATCCACAGGTTTAATGAGTAATTGCCGGTGTAATGTTTGCTATATGGTGAATTGCCGAAGTCTTGTTCTCTCCTAGCACCATTAGAAAAGGAAGGTATTTTCGCCCCAGTTATTCCCAGCCCATGATAAGTATGACCACAATCACCACTTCCACTGCCACCGATCATCATAACCGCCCCATCCCATCTCCCTCTGTCGCACCAGAAGCCAATCTTATCCCCGCTTAGAATGGTTCCATTACACTTTGCGTTACCAAAACCTTGCGTTGTCTCGTATTGCCCACCGTAGTGAACCGTACAATGCCCCAGACACCGAAAATTAAACCTCCAAGTCGTGCCATTCCGGAAGTCCCCGTAGCTTGTTATTTTCCTCCTGAATGTCTGACCACCCAGACAGTCACCTGTTGTTTGCAATAGAGCGGTGTGCTGACGGTCATCATTACGCGTGATCTTAAACTCGTTGCCGCTGACTAGCCAAAAGCCTGGTGAAATCATATCAGTGTTACTTGATGGATCAGTTGTTTCTCCAGTGGAAATAATCTTATCATACCACCATTCACCACTGTCCTTCATCCAGTTTATTGCGTCTGCCATGGAGAAACGAGCAAGATGGGTCCAAACTTTTCCAAGTGATTCCATTTGGCAGTATGCCTAATAGAAAAGGAATGTGGCGATTAGAGCGGTTTTCACTTGACTGTCGTAAAACCAAAACCAAAGTAAATACACTAGCCAACCAAAGGGCGTAGTAAAACCAAAACCAAAACCAAAACCAATCCCTTTCGACAGTCAAGTGAAAACCGCTCTAATTAAAAGCCGTTTTAATACTTACTCTCAATTTCTAGGTAGTAATTCCTACTGAACATTACTGACAAAGATTTCTGTTCTAGGGAAAAAGACGACCATTTTCTTTCAAAACATTGCGCAGCTATAAAGTGAATCTGGCCGCCTTCGACCCCTAGGAAAATCCAGAAATCAGGACTGTAAATAACCAACAGACCTGAAAGAGGCCTGCCAAAAAATGCCATGAATGTGAAAATCAAAAATAGTAAAAAAGCATAGAATTATAAACTAATTTTACCTGAAATATAACACCTGTTTGATTTAGCCAGTATGCACCGCTGATCGCCTGTTCGCCTNAATATAACACCTGTTTGATTTAGCTAGTATGCACCGCTGACCGCCTGTTCGCCTTCGATCGTTTTGATATCAAGGCATGACTCCACTGGCTTCCAATCAAAATAACCTGACATAGCTGCGAAAAAAACAAAAGCAATTTTAGTCTTGATTATAACGAGTTTTGCTTCGAATCTGTCATTTTTTTATTTGATGGGATAGTAAAACAAAATATTTAGGGCAAGACTTCCCGTGAGCAATATTTGTAAGTAATCGCCCTACCCGCATGGTCCCCCCCTTTTTGTGCGAAGAAAAAAATCGACCCCACTGTAATGTTTTTTTTTGTTTTGTTTTTCAGGCGCCCCCGGCTACGGACCCGGTAGTGCAATGGTCAATGCAAAAGCCGAACGATATCACGATACTTAACAGAGCCGGAGTGCAATGGCTCTGCCGAGCAACGCCTGAAGGAGGGTACACCAGTACGCCAAAATCGCCCAGGAGTCGAACCTGGCCCCCGGAAACGTCCCCCGCCCAACGGGGCACCTGAGCAGTCGGGCGTGCTAGGGCTGCTATAAGGTAACGGGTCCCACAGTGCCCGTGTTGGAAATGCGGTATTTTAGTAGACGAAACTCAGTTGCATACGCGTGGGAGTAGAATTTCCGTCCCCTTATGCAAACAGTTTTGAGAGGAGGCATGCGCATTACGATAAAACGTTAAACACTTGCCATTATATTAGTACAATATTCCTCCCTGGGTATGGTTATTCATGACATTATAAAAAGGTATGGGGAATCAATCTGACCGGGGGCAAGCCCAAGACAGACTGAATTGAATATAGGCAATCTGGAACCCGACTTACTTGCTGGGGAGGTCGGGTGGGTCGCCAGTCGTCCTTTGTGTCGGACAAAGTGAAGTGAATGGGACAAAGCGTGCCGGTGTTTCCTATTATATATACTCATTTGCTTAACATTAATTTATCCCCAGGGATGTTATTTGCATTCAAATGAAACGTGAATAGTGATTAGGGTTAAGCAACAATACTGTGTCCAAGGGGTTTAAACCGATGGCATCTAATTCTAACCCGTCTACTATTCACGTTCAATTTGAATTGTAAATATCATCCCTGGGGATTAATTAGTGATAAGAAAATGACACTTTCACTTACTGTAGCTTGTCGAGTGTTCTCCCAACATCCCAAGTGGGTTATCACGCCGGTAAACTCATAGAAAGTGTGGTCTACTGCTTTTATAAAATAACTTTAAGTTTTCTATGACTTTACCGGCACAATAAGCCATAGGTTTTTAACCAATCAGAACGCGCGTACTATGTTAGTTATTTTATTACTAATAGGAAACACCGGCAAGCTTTGTCTACTATAGTCAGTGCTCGAAACCGAAGCGAAACCGAAAAAGACGACGATAAGGAATACTACGTTGTGTAAAATTCATAAGGTGTCTATGGGGTTTAGGCCGATGGGATCCAGTAGACGCAGTGTGTCACACCCCTCAGCAAAGAGACACTGTCTTCAATAACCCGACACCCCACAAGTCTGGTCATTGGCCACAACGAAATGAATAACTTTAAGAAGACGGCCGATGATCGCACGGGAGGCAATTTTGTAGTCGACATTGAGCAGAGTAATGGGCTTCCAACTGCACGGAAAACGGATTGAAACCTCCCAACACGTAATCCAAAAAATGCGCCCTTGAAGGATTCCGACACACCGGCCAAAGAAAAGGAGCAGTGGACGAAACGACCCTCATCGTCAAAGAAAAGGCGCAACCGCAAGACCGGTTAGTGCCAGTGGAAACCTCCACCCTATAACCAGAAGAGTGAAACCAGCCCGAGGCCTCGCTGTCCCACATACATTGGACCTCCGGCAGAGAGATAATATCCGGAGGAGAAGGAAGAGAGCGAGTCCCCTGCGGCAACACTGCCCGTTTGTCCCCACCAGCAGCGTAGCGTGACCATTTTGACAAGTTCCCACACGGGTCCATATGGTTTTTAAAACTTCGTTCAAAATGAGGTTTTTGCTTTTCCCTTTATACATAATTGGCAGTTTACTGATATTCCAATGGCACGCGATATCAAAAAAAAGCTTTAAAAAGTTCTCCTTTGAGTGGTACTGAAAATGTTTACCAGTACAAGGCGAGGCGCCTTCTTTGTGCGGAAATTTGGAGTTTAAAAGCATCGGTTAGAAGAATTGCGGCATGTGCATGTTTGTGTAAATTTTCCGAACGCTTAGTCCTTTGCCGACTTTTTGAGTTTTTCCCTTATTTCGAACATGAGCAATTAAAAAGAGCAAACAATTGAGAGTCAGCATTTATTTATTTTCAGTTAATTGTTCTGAATATCTCTATAGTTTGTCATTGAAAAAAAAAACACACACATCTACTCTCCAGGAGTAAATTTCCCTCAAAATTCTTGTTGATACCTCGCCAAACGTGCACCTAATACCGTAAAGTTCCCATAGTAGCGACCCTCGTTACTTTCGGAATTAGCAGCCTTTGGGGCTCGTTACTTTCGGGGTGTCGTTACTCTCGGTGGGTCGTTGATTTCGGGGACCAAAAACCAACATCAACATCTGTGGTCTACCGGACTACTGAATGGGTGAATCAGCAGATGTAGAGGAAATCGAATTCTTCTCTGACTCAGGGGAGGAAGCATAACTCAGTGCTTTTAGTCCATGACAAACAAATGTCTTTTATAGCACAGTATACATAACTCAGTTTTAACTTGAAGAAACGGTCCTGTTTTTGATATGAACTTTATATCACTGTCATGGGAAACGACCAATCATTGTGGGCGTAGCATTTACATCATTATATAACGTTACATATATGCTGAAAAACAAAACTCTATGTTAATAAAAGTTTTGTCTTGTCACAGTTTAAGGCTTCATTATTTATTTTTTCGCCTACCAGCATGATTCAATGTGACATGCAGCTAAATAAAAAATATTTATTTCTATGTGAACAAAACAGTCAAAACAAAGCGCGATCTACAAGCGTGAATATTGTTTTCAGTTGAATGCGGANCAGTATACATAACTCAGTTTTAACTTGAAGAAACGGTCCTGTTTTTGATATGAACTTTATATCACTGTCATGGGAAACGACCAATCATTGTGGGCGTAGCATTTACATCATTATATAACGTTACATATATGCTGAAAAACAAAACTCTATGTTAATAAAAGTTTTGTCTTGTCACAGTTTAAGGCTTCATTATTTATTTTTTCGCCTACCAGCATGATTCAATGTGACATGCAGCTAAATAAAAAATATTTATTTCTATGTGAACAAAACAGTCAAAACAAAGCGCGATCTACAAGCGTGAATATTGTTTTCAGTTGAATGCGGAGTGAATGTTGAAGTTAGTGGAGTGTGCATGGGTGGCTTGTGTAGACTCTGGGGCTGATGCGACAATTGCCAGACTCTCGAAGGCAGGTGAAGGTTGACAATACATGCTCAACCCCTACACGTTAGCAACTTTGTAAAAGAAGAACGTCTTTGGTATGTGTTTTAAGATATTCGAATGCGCATGACTACTATCTAATCTTGCTCCCACAAGTACATATCAATCTATTGTTATGCACACGCCTGCTCTCATAAATGTTGGCATAAGTGGACATAAATTCCACTCCCGCATTTATGCGACTTGACTCTCGCCTACTAATGTAACGCAAGTGTTTAACGTTCTATCTTAATGAGCATGCGTGCTCTTGTAAATGTTCGCATAAAGTGGGCAAGTAGTAGGGCTGCAGCAAACTTAACCCCGTTGGTGTCTAGCAAGGTCTAGCTAGGTTTAGTCTATGACGTCACCCATTGTCATAACCTGGGGGAAAAGTGCCTTCCTCCATATATAATAAAGTGGATAGGTTTACTAATGAGCGTCACTCTACTACAATAGGAACAATAGGCTTGCCTAGACTTGCCCGTGAAGTAATTTGAGCCCTGTTTTCGGACTGTCTATTAAAAGAAAAATAGGAATAAGAGAAGCGATCACCTAGCAACGCTAGAAACGGCTTCCTATATCTTATTTAGCGCTAAAACTCAGATATATAAACAAAACGCATACAGAAAGTAAGCTGAAAAGTCTTTATTTCAATAAAGTTTACGTCTTCTTATTTAGCGCTAAAACTCGGATATATGAACAAAACATACACAAAGTGGGACTGAAAACGCTTTATTTCAATTTTGTCTGACGTTTTCTTCGTTTTATCTCGAGGAAATGAAAAACTATTGAAGTCTCAGCGTTTCACGCACCGTTAGGTAATTATGCGAGTTCAAAAGCCCAAAGTTGAATACAAATTAGCTCTACAGGGAAAACCTCAAGGGAGCATCTTGACATATTATTATAAAAAAAATAACTTAACAAGGATCAATTAAAGCACGCGACTCATAGTTGCTAGCAATAAAAACACAAGAGAGATACCGTTTTAAAAAACTTTATTAAAAAACAATGACAAAAAGAGTCAAATACAAAGGAATGGAAATTAATTAATTCCTTCTTCTTCGCCCATGGAGTACTTGTAAGGTTTGAATTTCTTATGCCGACGTTTCTTCAGCTGTTTGCCATGAGGTTTATGATCATCTAAATAATTTAGAAATTGAATCCGACGCCTTTTGCGCTTCGGGCCTTGTGGTGATGGGGTTTCTACTGTGGTTTTTGAGAGTTAGCCGCTTGTGTTAATTCAGGTGTTACATTAAAGGGGTTGAGGGGAGTGGAGAATGCTGTCGTTGCTGTCGAAGAATCTTGTGTCCTTGATGTTAAGTCTGGAACAGTGCTGATTATTTCTTAATTGTCCTTTAAAAGCCAGGTATCTGTTTTGCAACTGAAGGTATCGTTTAGCTTTTTCATCATCCCGAAGATCGTTTCGAGAAAGCACGTCATCCATGTTGCCTTGTATTTCTTGCATAGCTGGAGGAAGCGGGACAGGCGAAAGAGTTTGCTGCTTCAGATATTTTAGAAGCTCTTGAGGAATATTTTCTTGAAACCTGATTGGTTAAAGCCTTCTTCACTAGGCAGGACGTTTGTTCGCAACCGACAATTATCTTGGGTAGTAGTTTTCAGATCAATCAGAAGATAACCAAAAGGTCCTTTTACAGCCTCTTCGTACTGATTTAAAAAGAAATCCGTCTGCCCGGGATGCATTTGCTTCGCCAGAGTCAGGATTTGCAGTTTGTCTCGTGGATTCTTGAATAACACCAGATAATGGCTGTTTAGGCTTATGCTGCGGCTACCTTTCCCTGATGAAATAGATTCTGCACGATATAAATCACGCTCAGATTGCGATGATGAGAACCTCGAGTAAAGAGGTTCACAATTCGCTTGTCTTTACTGGCGATCAAATTCCGTTTGTTCACATCAAAATAGGAATCTTGCTCCAAAGCCGTAGGAATTCACTTGACGAATTCAATGTTTGGCATGGCGACTAACATTTGTGTATACGCAGGCTGCCATTGTGAATAACACCAAACGATCCTCTCCGGGGGAGGGTAAATGGTCTCTGAAGATTGTTGCAATAGCGATCGAACCCAGGCCGTTTTCCGGACCCGGTCATTCCGGCAATCAAGGAGGTGTAAGGATGCTCGAAGCGAAACCGCTGACATTTCTGTGAAAACATCGGAACTGTTTGAAATGGGGTGAGACTAGTATTGTGGTGTTTAGAAATCACGTGCCTTTGCATACTATCTTTTCTACTAAAGGATTTTTCGCAGACAGAACAGAACCAGCTCATGTCAACTCCTCAGGAGCAAAATGTAGACTGAGAAAGAGGTAGAATGTTGCGCATTTATATAGGTTTTCAGGCCACAAGATTCTATTGTTTTCCTCCCCCAAGACCACCACTACCACCACCACCACATTTCTATTGTTTTCTTTCCTCCAGCGCCACCACCGCCGCCAACACATTTCTATTGTTTTCCCTCCCTCACTCGGTCCCAGACATTTACACGCGAGTAACCGCTGACTGCAGGCTCATCTTCATGTCCCCTGACCAGTGTACCAAGGGCTAAAATGGGTTGGAACGAACGCATACCCTACTACTAAGAACGGCAAACACAAAATTATGAAAGTTGGACTCCCGTTAACGAGCCTTTATGATAACTGTATATGCCAACTGAATAAATCTAATGGTAGTTACACTAAAGCTTAATCAGCAAAAGATAAACTGGAGACCGTAACGAAAGAAAAATAGAGGCAAGGTATAAAGTAGCTGGGATTTGCTAGAGAGATATGTCATTAAAAATCTTCACGGTGCATATTTACTAACTTCTATCTCTAGCAAATCCCAGGTTACAACATAAACGACTTTGCTTCTATCTTTTAGAACAGTGGCTAGGGGTAGACGGCGATTTTTTTCATGCGGCAGTTTAACTGTACCTGTTTCACAGTGTTCCCCTGTATATCCAGATGCACATACACAAAGGTATCTTTTGTCTGTATATCCAAGAAGACATTTGGCGTTGTTAAGGCAAGGGTTACTGCAGCAGAGATTCTGATTAAAAAACAGTCAAGTATTTAAATCGTTTATGGTGGGAGTGGACTAGGTTTCAACAATATAGAAAAGAGAGAAACTTTTATCCCTAGAACAGTTCTTGAAAATAGGTTATCTACATCAGGGTTCAATTCAATAAAACTTCTTAAAGTGTAATTTAGAAGTGTAGCTATAATTGTTTTCAGACTCTAAAACAATAGCTACACTTTTAAATTACACTTGTAAAAGTTTTATTAAATTGACCCCAGATTTAATAACAATCATTACACGAAGAACGATACAATGTCCTCATATTTTTCAAGTTCGCAATCGTACCTCTGCACCTCTGTATGTCCAGCCCTGTCTTGGTTGAAGATCCTTTGGATGATGCCAATGATCAGAGTTGCTTAACTCGCATATCACTTTATCCTCTATTCGCGGGCCAACATTGACGGACACGCACTCGTTCGCCATGACGCACAGATGCTCACACGATGCATATATTTCAATAGAAAGATTTCTGTACACGTGGTCCTTAAAATAATAGCTGTTCATTGGTGGAATGAACTTAAATTTCCATCCTGCTTGCGACATAACCTCCAGCAGTCTTTAGTGGTAGTGTGTCTGATGTAGTATTCAAATCTCAACAACTGAAGCTCGTAAGATTTTCTGAGTTTCCTCAACTTAGATTCCTTTTTCTTCCAAAATTATATGCTGAAGTCAGGACATGTTGGAGTCTGGAATGCCGTTGGTTTCATCAAGAGGCCATTATGGCTCTTGGTTTCATGATTATTGAACTTAATGTGTATATGTAGGCAGCATAATCTGAACTTAGTTAGAAAACATAACTTGTATAAACCGCTTTAAAGCTCATGGTTCATGACAGATTCAAGGTATTGTAAGTTGTCAGTAGTGATTTAAGAACGACTAGTAGTTTATATCATCAACAATACTCTGCACTGAAAGTTCATTATTTAGTATACTGTTGACAGTGAAAATAAACTGGTGGACTTAAACACAGTTTGTAACTAATTATGGCAGAAGATCTGCTAGTAATACCTATTTTTTTCGCCGAGAGAATCGAAAATTTGGGAAAGTCGTTCTTTAAATTTCTGGAACAAAGATTTGAGAAAGTGTTGCTCCTTAATTAAGTGTCTGCAGAACAATGCAGGTGAACCCACAAGGAACCCCGACTCACAACAGCCTCCTTGAAGCCAAGTTATGAGGATTTGTATGGAATTTTGTCTGGAATTATTTTTTTGTAGGTCGAAATCCGCTTTACGGACACCCACTTAATACGGACACCTCATTATTACGGAAAGTTTGCTCTGTCCCTGGGAAAAGCTCTTACATTTTCTCTAAATTCAACCCACTTAATACGGACGCCCGTTAATCGGGACAACGGACACTTGAAAATTTGTTTCTTGCCCAGTCAACAGATTCTCATAGGAAGCCAACTTCACTCAAGCGGACACTTCATTATCAACTGTCGTGCAGTGGTTTTTTGAGAATAGAGTAAAACTAAACAGTGAAAAATGTAAAGAGCTTAGGATTCATTTGCAAAGAACAAACCACAACTCACGCCTATAGTAGTAAATAATCAAGAGCTAGAATGTGTTGAAAGCGCCAAATTACTAGGTGTTACGATCTCCAACGACCTTACATAGAATATGCACATTGATCAAATCATAAAGAAAGCGTCTAAACGTATGTATTTCCTAATGCAATTGAAAAGGGCCAATGTCGCAAGGCATGAATTAATTCTTTTTTATACATCTTGTGTAAGGTCAGTCATGACCTACGCATCGCCTGCGTTTTTCTACGCCCTGCCATTGTATTTATAGAAAGATCTAGAGAATGTAGAGAAACGGGCACTATCAATCATTTGCCCGGACTGGCCTATAGAAAGGCCTTAGAGCTTTCAGATATTATGTCTATCAATGACTACATCGCTAGCTTATGTAAAAAGTCCTTCCTCTCGATTGCTAATGACCCGGCCCATCGCTTACATAACATGCTTCAATCGTCAGGGCCGTCGTGTTATAATCTTCGGTGCAAAAGGTGTTTTGCGATTCCCAAATGTAAGACCGAGCGTTTCAAAAACAGTTTTTTAGTAAGATCATGTATTGATAACGAATTTTAGCGCTCGGTGAGTTTTGTAAATGAGATCGATGACGTTGTACTGTATTTTAACAGTTTTAAGCTTTTTTATATTTATAGGATGTTATTATATATTTAGGACTTTATCATTATCATTTTATTATACTCACTATTGTAAGATTCTGTTATATTATATTATATATTATATTGTAAATACTCAATTCAGCTTAGTAGCTGCAAGCTTTTTACAAATAAACTATCTATCTATCTATCTATCTATCTATCTATCTATCTATCTATCTATCTATCTATCTGTGTTCGGTAATAGATCTTTCCTTTTTTAAGGTAAAATAACCAGTTGACAGCATGTCCATGTTCCCAGCGCTACAGAACACCATGGGGTGAATTGTAGATGTCAATTGCAGACTATTTTGGCAAAAAAACGATCACAGAACACGGTTTTGATAAAGTGATATACACGTGAGTGATTTTTGAGTGGTTCCGTGGATGTAAGCTGCGGAATGACTGCTTTGTGAAGGTGAAAGGTGTTTAATTTGACGATGCTTATGTCTTGTTTTATTAATTTTGTATTTTGTTAAGAAAAGATATTTTTTTGACTTTGATAACTGAAAACGGTTCTCCTTTGAGGGACACCCGCGGCAAATTATTGAAAGATAAGCTGCAAAGATTCCCGAGTTCTTATAGGTGTCAGTTATGATATTGGCTCCGCAGACTTAATGGACTCTCTTTAATGGCAAACACTTGACGATCGACGGCGCTGTACAAAATCAATTTTTGAAGTATAAAATATTAAATGATCACACCGCCCCCGGCCTATGGAACTCTTTTGTGAGAAGGAATGTCGATCAGTATAATTACCACTGATCTGCGTAACACGGCTACTGATCTGAACACTTCCTAAACCGAAAAGAGAGTTTCTAAAAAGAAGTTTTAAATTTAGCGGTGCTATGCTTTGGAACCAGCTCTCGAATGAAGCAAAGTTCGCTGAGTCAATCTCTTCATGTAAAAACCTTGTTAGATCATAGTTGGGTCTTGCCAAGCTGTGTATCTTAATAGTTACCCTTTTATATGATTTTCTGTTATAGCGATAGTAGTAGTTATAGCAATAGTAGTAGTAGTAGTAGTAGTAGTACAGAAAATTTTAGTACTGTTTAGTTTCGTAATTTAATATACGGTGTTAAGATGTGTCAACACGCCCTCCATGGAAACCAGCCAAGTGTTATTGGGGCTAGCGTGTTTCTATTGTAATGTGAATTTTTTAAATAAAGTATTACGTAACCCTTCTATTGAAATAATAAACTCCCATACAAATCCTTATAATTTGGCTTTGCAGAGACTGTTGTGAGCCAGGGCGCCCCTTTGTTTGCCTGATCGTTCATCACAATGTCTAAGCGAACGTAAAACTTTTGTTACTTTGACACCGAACCTTATTTGCGTGACCTAATGTTATAGTCTGCTATCGTCTAAATCAGTCAAAAGGGAGGAGGTGTAAGCAACAATATTCATGCCGAAAATTTTAACAAAAACTTCTCTTAAGCCGCAAAGACATTAACAAAAAACGGTTTTATTTAACAAACCATTATGGTGTCAGAGATAGAACAAATAAAACAAATGTCCAAACAAACAAAACAAACAGAACCAATATAACCCAAAAAGAGGGAAATTATGCAAGAGAGAGGAAGATGATTTTTTAAATAATATGGGGGACTTCCGTATTTCTTAGCGAAAAGTTAAAGTTATAAGTACATAAACTCACGAGAATAGTCTGTTTTCACGGTCACTCCTCATTTTGGTACTATCAGAATTTTTTAAGGGTTTTGAAACTGCACTAGCTCTTTGCGTTGTTAAATATGAAAGCAGGATTCATGTATCCAGCGTAAACAAGGCAGCTGGCGTTTAAAATAACGGTACAGTTGCAATTTTATCTTTTACCTTGGTAGGCATCTGATATGTATTGCAGCCAAACTCCCCATAGAGAACATAAAGCCAGGAAATCCATCAGGGACAAGCAAAACCTCACCATAATAGAAAAGAGTGGTTTTGTTTGACGCAGTCAGCATAACCGTGTCGATATTGATTCGTAATAAGGTAAGGTGCGGTTTGTTCATACCTATATAGCTGAGACACTTGCTTAAAAGTGTAATCTTTCATCATACATCAAAAAATTACTGTCTTGGACATCTCGTATTGGTTACCGGACAACCCATCAGAGCACGGATTCGATTCATCTTACCTACTCGCGGAGCCAGTAAAATTTCTTAAAATGAATTTAAAGAATCCAGAACATGAATGACTCGATTTAGAACAGACAGGTTTTAGAGCAAAAAACAGTGTGATTTGTGAATAAATCACACTGCCAAGAGCCAAGGACGTTAGCTGAGAAACGCTTGAAATTAACCGAGCGAAAACTGGTAAAGGGCCCAGCCATAGCAGCTGCTTATCAGAAGATTATCGAAATAGAGCGTTGCACTCTCCTGAAGGAGGTTACACTAGTTACATAAATGCGACAGAAGCAAAATTGCGTACAGGAAATCTCTTACATCGAAGCACGCTGAATGGGAGCGAACGCTGCGCGCGAGCTTACCACAAGTTTCTGGTTCCATCCCATTTTTAGTTTTCTTCCCTTGCCATTCAGTTCCACTGGGAAGAAATCAAGATTTCGGTGGAAACTTAGAATGGAGGGCTTTGGTCCTGATGAAAGGAGCCTGTTCCAGGCGTTCATGGTGGCATGGGTCGTGGGCGAAAAATCGACGAGAAAAAAAACGGGAGGAGACTAGTCTCCCCTCGTTTTTCCCTTTTCTCTCACCGCGTACGATTTAACTCGCTCACTTCCCACCATCTGAACGCCTGGGATAGAATAGGATGAAAGTTTTCCTTACAGTAATGTCAAGTTCCACTTG